TTGTTTACACTATAGTTGATTCATGTCAATTTGATATTCTAATATAGAACAATATTACAAGTGTTCCATTGCAGCCAAAATCTCGTAAATAATTCAACCACAACAATTACAATAGCCACCTCATTATCCCTACATAATGAGTCAGCGCTGCTGAATAAGATATGTGAAAACATGGAAGGCAGAAGAGAGTGAAATGCGTTTGTCAGCTTTTGCGTTTGGAGCCTAATTGGAGCAGTGTGGAAAGATTCACAAGATGCTGGCTGTATGTGTGTTCACAGTTGCCACAGGAGTCAGCTGAGTGCTTTCGTCCAGTCAACGCTGTTATTTCTGACTTCAAAGCCACAGTATATCTGTGAGAAAAAAAACGTATTTTACTGGAAATGACAGGGAAGTTTGGCAGACTTGAGATTAACAACAGAAGAGAGTAACAGAATTGTTGTGAATTTGTAAGGGGGACAGAAAGTGAATGCACTAGGTAGGGATGAGCGAGAACACCACCATCTGTATCTCTGTCCGTACTTAACATGGACGTGGGTTAAGTTATTTAAGACATGGTATGGGTTAATGAGAACTTGTGATACTTATTAGAAAACTTCATCAGAATTGAGCTTTTTGACTATAATAGTAAAAAACTATTTTTCATAGTTTATTAGAAAACACATTTTACTTGTTACACATGATACTCATTTTACACATGATACTCGTAAAAAGTACATTATCTGTACCCGCTACTCATTTCAACCGAGTATGCACTCAACAAGAGTACTAGGGCTGTCACTTTTTTCAAAAATCAAGTTCTAATGAATTTGAAATTACGCGCAATTCGTTTGAATGAATTAAACAAACACATTATTAATTAATAACATCAGTATTTTAATTAACTTTTTAACTACAGTGAATAAAATACACCCGTCTAAGCTAGCAGATGAGTCTGCAGATTTTTTGTCGCTGCAGATAAAGTCATCCAGCAGGAAAAATATATAGGTCGAGCTAATGGATCACAAGACAAACTACTTCAAAGGGTCTGTTGTGCTTGTACATTTTGAATTTGTCATTAATGTTCAACTATTAACTTTTCTCCATGTGCAAACAGACAGACTGTACTGTATATTTATTTGCACAGCATAATGTACATTTTATTAATTGGGTCAGAGTCATTTACTAAATTTCAAGTATATTCGTCATGCAGTTTTGCTTTTTTTAAACTGGTTTTGATCATGTTTACATGGACCATAGAGAAACCTTATTATGTATCTCCCTGTATAACATTTATCCAGGTTTCTTTCTATGTCATTAGAGGCATGTGTTTGAATTCTCCACATACAGCCACCCTCTATCATTTCTGTTCTGAATTCCCACAGTAGTTGAGAACAAACCCAGTTTGTGCTTTTGGCTGCCTGGAGTCTGCTGCATTTACAACTCTGACAGGATCTGGCTTCTCCAACGGACCATTAGTTATGGAAGATGAATGTAACAATGCAGTTTATTCTCTACATTCCCAAAGTTCTCAGCTTTTTAAAGAGACCCAACAGAAAGCATACTGACATACTAAAAAAATCACTAATTGACATTGTTTGTGCATGGTCTTCCACAGGATGCCTTTGCAGCGGGTGATTAAAACCACCCAGAATATCATTGGTACCCATATCAGTGAGGTGAGGTACCTGCACAGAGCCCAAAGGATACTAAAAGGCAATACACACCCAGCCACAGCCATCTGGCAAGCAGCTTCTTTCCCCAAATATTTATGTTCTTTGGTGTGACAAAGAGCTCGCGAAGGAATAACTCATTATAAGCATTATTACTGCATGTAGACGTAGAGACAGGACAAAAACGAGGGGCTTATTACTGTTATTATTTTTTATTAAACCATTATTTAAACAAACATTCAGTGTTAATGAACAGACAAGGCAATAACATACAGAGACTAAAAGACGAAGGTACCAATACAGTGGGGGATAAACAATGCAGTGTAGCAGACAGAATAAATAGCTTTGAGAGAGTGCAACAGCGTTGCAATACACTCTGTGTATTGATCTTAAAAGATAAGGACTTAGCATAATAACAGTTTTCAATAGGCCTAAAAACACTAAATTATTATGCACTTGCATGTGTCTTTGAAAATGTCCATAATGTCATTTTTAAAAGCTGTTAGAGAGATAAATTGGTTCAGTTTTAGGGCTTAGCCCCCCCCCCCCCCATTTACAGCAGCTAAATGCACTTTTCAAGCGGTTTTATATAAATAAATGCCTAAAAATCTGTATATCATTGAGAAAAAAAAACTGATAGTTGACCAGGAAAAAAAGCATCCTAAAGAGCCTACATCCTATTTTGTATGTAATTGTTCTCCAACTGTCTTCATCATTCTGAAACCATAACACAACAAATGCTGAGGATAATTAATTTTCACTCCTGCTACCTAAAAACAGGCAGAAATTGTCTGATGTACTATTTATAATTTACAAAACATGTGTAGGGTAGGAATTGGTGTAAACAGCTATACTAATCTTGAAACCTATTTTTGTTATACTGGAGTAGAGTTAACAGAATTAATTTTTAGCTGACAAATGTTCTACATCTGAATCCGTGCCATAATAAACTGGGCTGCTCTAATAGCAAATCAAGGATCCCCAACATGCCAAGTAAATGTGCTCTTCAACACTCTGAAGTGAATACTAGACAAATAACATTTACTCAACAAACACAGTGACATCTGGAGGCTTGTAATTATTATTGCTGATATTAATAGTTATAGTCTCTATAGTCTATACGTGTGCTGTAAAAGCCAAAGAAGCCTGCATGTTATTATTAAACCTGGGTACTTTTGTTCACAAGTGCAGCATTAAATATAGATGGTATTTTGAAAAGGCCTGGATAAAATATTTTTGCTGACACGATCATGAATATACCTTTTTAGTGTACTTTAGTTTGAGTGCCACTGTTCTTATGTTTTAAAACGTCATGGTTGATACTAACGTGACATTTCATGAGTGACACAGTGTTGTGTGATTGGAGAATGAAATTTAAGTTGTTATTTTTGCTATCACACTTATGATTACGCCTTACTATACATTAATCTATTTCTCTATTATCCTACTCTCTTCTTTTCCCACTAATGTGCCAGTCGCAGAGTTTAGCTGTAAAACTTCAAAACGGTCAAACTGCATGAAGGGCTTTCTGAATTATCAGTGACTTTTGAAATTTCAGACTGCATCATCTCCAGCTAACCGCAGCTAACGTTAGGTAGCTAGCCAGCAATACATCACCTCACCAACTCACTACTAGTGTTACAGCTGTGGATTCACACATCTGAAACAACACAGCTGAGGTTTACTCCTTGTGAAAACTGTTATTTCCATTGTCCATATGCTTGTTAGCAACTAGCTAGCAAGCTTTTTTTCACATGCGGCCCTTATCCTCTTCTGTAGAGGGGAATGAAACTAAGTTGAAGTTATTTTTAAAATCTAAAAGATTTTGAGAAAACAGTCAGGGCTCAACCCTATTACAAAATATATCTGCTAATGCAAAAACACATTTTTAGGAGACTGTAATGAACATTAAATGGTCTTATGCTAATAATATTATAGCAAGGATACTGTGGTTGGTGCGACTAAATGTTTTTTGGTCATGAACCTGTCAAACTGAGTAAAAAAATACACACATTCTTTTCCTGACCCTGGAGAAATATACTTTTATCTCAGCATATTGCAGTATGGCAGCTATACTGCAGTAGTAGTCACATACAGTATATAATATCCAGGTCTGGGAGCTCCAGCTTCACCATCAAATGGTTGTGTGCCTTCAAATGATATCTTAGAGGAGTGCTATTTTTTGCCTTGTTGTTTGATGCAGTGAGGAAAAATTTATCCAGAATACGTCTCTTTGTTCTTGGTGAGAAACGTAATGCTGTATGTACCACAGGAATACACTGGGAATGTGACACAGAATATTTTCTTTAATTGTAAAAAGGAGAAAGCGTTAAACTCCCACCGGTTATAGGAAACTATGATGCTGATTTCTCAACATATCCACCTCGTAGACATTTCTAGGTGAACATTTAGATTTTTCACACAGGTGTAACTAATCACATTATGTTTGCATGCTATTTAATGCAGGTGTGCCAGTCTCAGAGGCCTGCTACTGCACATGTTTACTGGCACAAATAGAACAGAGCCATTGTTAATATTATTAGTCAAAATGGCTGCTGTGAGAAAGTTTTATACCATTGCTGTCAAAGTGGTGTTGAGGGCCACACAGAGACTCTTTTTAAGGTATCGGAGGACCACAAGGGGGTTCCTGCTGCTTTCTAAAGGGTTTTTATTTAAGAGGTTTTAGGGATCTTTTAGGAAGCTCCAGGGTGTCCCAGAAAAATTGTTAATCTTATTATAATCTTAATTGCACTTGTCTTTTACACAGTCTATTATAAAGTTAGATGAAGTTTCATGATTACAAACTGCATAGGTGGATTTTTATTTTTACTTTTTCTTATAAGTGTTGAGACTTTCACATTTTAGTGTGCAGAAGTCAAAATTTCTCACATTTGTTCTGCTACATATATTCCTGGAATCATTACACAATAACTTTTTTATATAGCACACCTGCTGGGCTTTAAGAAAAGACTTTCTCATGTCTGTAAAGTAAATATGAAGCTAAAGCCAGCAGCCGCTTAGCATAGCTTGGCAAAAATCCTAAAAATGGAGAAAGGGCTAACAGGTAACAAAATCTGCTGATAGATAGATTTTTAGCAGATTTTATTATCTTTGGCCATAGCTAAGCTAGTTGTTTCCCCTTTGGTTTCAGTCTATAAACTAACCATCTTCTGGATGCTCCTGAGAGTGGTATTAATCTTCTCATCTACCTCTTGGCAAAAAAGCATAGCGTAACATTATCTATTATCTGTTCACATGAAACGCATCCACAGAGTGTTTTTCTCATTGAATGATATGCAGACATCCAGGTAGTTTTAGCACTGGCTAATAATCTTTAATTTATCTTAACAGGTGTAAGCTGTTGACATACGCGGAGGACCTTCCTCAGATCTCTGTGGTCTTCATCTTCGTGAATGAGGCACTTTCAGTGATCCTGCGCTCCGTCCACAGTGTGGTCAACCACACACCGGCACACTTGCTCAAGGAGATCATCCTGGTGGATGACAACAGTGACAGCGGTAAGACCTTTTACAGCTTTACTAATAGGATAAAAAAAGAACTAGGCAGTATGTGTAACCAGCCTTTAATCCCTGGTCTCTTACTGTATGTGCTCTGCTGAACTTTAATTGATGGTAGTCACTGAGATTTTTCAAGTCACCATGGAGGTATCTCTCTGACCATTTGCATCATTTTTAATCGTTTCTCATCTACATGTTTACCCTCTCACACTTTAATTCATAAAACCTGTAGACTATGCAGTTTATCATTGTGTAATGCTGTAGGTTTGCTTTTTCAGGTCAGACAGTCACCCAATTGATTGATGTTTTGTCTTCCATACTAGAAGGTGAACTAAGGCGTCATACACAAAGGAGTTAGTGTGATGTTTTTGGACTCTTGCCAGAGAACTCAGTCTTCTTATGTTATATTAGTATGGGCGTGTGTGTGTGTGTGTGTGTGACAGGTTTCTGAGCTTTCTGCGTGTGTTTGGTTTTGTGAGTAACAGTTGAAGGGATAGAGAACCCCTGAGGCTAGCCTCTTGAACAGCAGGTTTTAAAATAGCTTAAAAACAAAAGAGGAAAGAGGATGGGATTTGTCCTTTTCTAAACTGCTGCGTACTACTGTCTCCATGGTGATGTGGGCAAATGCTTCAGTTGCCTCCACACCATGACGCCCACAGCAGCTGACGGTGCTCAGCTCCACATCCCAAAAGCTTTCCCGTTTGGATAAGGAGGGACAATGAGCTAGATTCCAGACGACACTTGGCCCTCCTTCACTTGGCACAGACTAACAGGCCTGCCTCCCTCAGGCTGGCAGAGGAAAAGGGTGCATGAATAACATACTGAAAGAAGGCTGAGCAAGAGTCACCACTGGCACATCTCCGTTCCCCGCTGAGGCTCTTACTGCCTACCATTAAACAGGGAGCCGTTAAAAGTCAGACAAAAAAGGAAGCCGACCCCTCCCCTCATTATGTCATAGCATCAGTCTGCCCCACACGTTTTGACTCTCACAAGGGTTTTCCTGAAATAGATCTTTGAAGAACAAACCCTATTTTCATCACAAAGACTACAATATAACACAAAATACCAATTTTTTATTTATACAAATATTTTATTTTCTCCTACGTCCCACAAAGTGTTATTATTGCAAGGGTCTAAAAGACACTGTTCAGCATTTGGACTGAAGTTGCCCTCAGCTCTACTGAGCGTTTTACCTGTTTATCTGTAAAATTCATTTTTTGGTTGAGGCCTCCCCGCAACCGCTTTGTTTCACTCTCATCGGTGTTATTTCCAGCAGTCAGCCGTTTTTAGCAAAAAGGCTCTAAAAACCCACAATACTAAATACCCAGCACCAAATTAGCGACTAGCTGGTGAACATAGTGGAGCATTTAGCAGCTAAAGAGACAGATGTTTCCATTTAGTGGAGAACATAACAGAGCTAAAAATATAGTGATTATTGGGCTTACATTCACCAGTTGGCCAGATACATTTTCTAAATTTCAATCTTTTGTGTTCTAAAAGCAAATCTTCACCGTGTCAACTTTATAAGGAAATAATAATTCAATGTTGTATTTACAGTTTGTTGCAATGCCTCCATGTGGCAAAACAAAGAAAGAGAGGAAAGCACAACTGAGCAATGAATAGATAAACTATTTAAGAAAAAGAAATTCAATTGCAAGTTTAGTTACAAGTTTTTGTGTTTTTTATGACGTTTTTGACACCAAAAGATGATGTGGCTGCTAATTGAACCCTGAATAGTCACTAAATTTGCCAAAATAGCGCTTCAGGCTGGAAAACTGGATCAGAACTGTGTAGACAACAGAATGAAGTGGGCGGAGACAACTTTATTCAGAAGAAGAGACAAATTAAATATGATGTACCAGGAGCGAAACAGCTGCAGTTACAACTTCTGCTTCTGTTACATCTTTAGTAGCATTTAGCATTAGTGTTGCTGAGTGCAGTTCACTGATATCACGGTACATGACTACTAGGCGCTAATGTTTTCAGTGTCCACTTGCCTTGTGCATGTTTAATATAAGTTCAAATTCTGGTCACTCTCTGCAAACCCACACATCCGTCAGCAGCTCTTAGTGTATGTTTACCAACAGTGATGATAATTTGTGCAGATGAGTGTGTGCTGTTTCTGGGGAGCCGCTCTGCTGTGACATTAGACAATTAACATGCAGGCTGGGCTGCTTGACCTTTTCTGGATGGCTCTGTCTGTCCCCTCTCATTTAAACAAGGCTCAGTGAGATGAGTGGAGGTACAGCCACACTCACTCCTGGCATAATAAATCATGCACAGGAAGCATGTTTGCCTTGTCGGCGTGACACATTTCCTTTGCTGGGACAGCCGGTGACATTTATTGGTGGCTGAGAGGTTTATTCGCAGCAGTGGTTCCAGCAGTCTGAACTAAATTCCCATCCCCATTGATGAGCTTTGACTGTGTGTGTGTATGTGTCAGAAAAGCCGATTCCACTTCATTGTTGTTTGCCATGTTAGCAGCAAGGAAAGGCTTAATGAGCCCTACAGGATTCAATTCCAGCAAATACCACCACCAAATTGATAACTTAATGATTCATATAATCAAAACAGGATATAAACTGAGGACGAGTTGAGTGCAGCTTGTAATATTAATTTCACGTGGAGCAGAATTACTTTAAACATTGCATACATTAAATCTGATTAAAGCTTCTGAATTGAGGATTTACAGATCAACATACTGCTGGAAATCTATCTGACACATTGTGACGCTTGCAAAAAAAAAAAGTAATTTTGAGAAAGACACTGTTTCTATTTATTATGCAGTGATATCCTTTTGTTCTTCATTTAATCCAATTAAGCTTGTTGGGGTTCTCTAATTGTATGTTTCATTACAAATCTGTTGCCTCTAAATGAAGGATTGACTCAGTTGCAATAAACAATTAATGAGCAAGAATTTGCCTTAGTTGCACTCAAGTTGAGACACTCAATCACACATCACTAAAGCTTTACATACAGCATTCAGTCACTACTTGCCAGAAAGCAGTGTACAGTATGTTTATAAATGTTGAGCAGGTAATACAATTGCCTAGTTTTAAAAGAAACATATGAAAAGCAATGAGGAGGAGCGATGATTCAGATTTCAGAACATGACTGGTGTTTAAGGGAAAGTGGGGTACAATTTGTCAGAAGTAACGTCATTCAGCTGCACTATTATCTACAGTATAACAATATATATTTAACGCTTGCCAGTATTGGCGTTAGATTAGATCTGCTATCATTTAGGATGGGAGAAACTTGTTAACATTTAGAAAATGATGGTGACTGAGGACATTTAGGCTTCAAACTAACCTTTTCACCACCTTCCCAAAACTCACATGGGGGAACGCTAACATTGTTCCACTGCAGCTCAGTGACAAGGCTGCCTGCGGGCATTGGCTGATGCAGATTATCTCAAAATGGCAGATATTGGCCTGAATGATTAATCGATATATCACTAGCATAATGTTACCTAAGCAGAATTTTAAATCAAGTGGATGTAACAATGTTCAGAGTGGGTTAAGGGCGGAGGGGTCAAAAAACACGAAGAACTTACCATCGTGCTGTTTCCAGTAAATGTGTGAGAGGTGGAAAACCTCCATATTGCTGCTGCACAGGTTATTTCCGCAGTGCATAGGTTGATTGTCACAATGTTTCCCACTTACAATGAGGGGCTTATGCTGTAGCATCCGGATGGTATTCCTGAAAAGCTACTCTGCCAGGATTAGGTGTATCATTTTACTTGGCTACAGTTTTTGTGAATATTTAATGAACATCACACTTGTGGTGAGCCAGTTAGGCAACTTCAAAGCAATCAATTTCCGACCTGTTTCCATATCAGTCCATAAGAATGTGGCCTGTGGTTTGTGTAGCAGAAGTAAATGTCTTTTCTCTGAGGGTGATCATTTTTCTCTACCAGACCCTTTGTAAATATACAGCCAAACACAGCTGACGGGTGTTGTGAGACTGATCTTACTAAAACGGAAACACAGAAAATCCTGCAAGTTATTTTTAATACAGGTATCCTGTAATTTATTGAGCACATAGAAAGCAGTATGTGGGAGGCCATAATTCAAGCATTGCAGCATGGAAGTTTTAAATCAAAGGCTTTGCCACCGTTTAAATAACCAAAAGCCTGTTTTGTACCTCACTAGCATCTATCCTTAACACAGCGGCTTCCATAATCTCCCATGTTGCCAAAGGAATTCATGGTGCTCCTCGCACAGCCTACTATGCATTCATTTTAAATTCATATATGATGGATAGTTATTTATCCTCTGCTATGTTGCACTGCCAGTCCTTTTAAAATGTATTCCCTGTTCCATAACTCTCCTGTCATGGATGCAGTCCATGCTTTATTTGCTCAGGATCAGAGGGAGGCCCATAACTTTTCTCTTTCCCGGCAAAGCACAGTAATTATTACACTCTAATAGCTTTTATCATATTGTAGCTGCAGGATACGCTGATGATGAAGGAGACTCATTGCGCAGGTTTGAAACCTTCAACAGAACCAAACTGCAAACATCTTTGAACCCTCAAAGAGGCACAATGCAGCCCCTCACAGTGACTCATTCAAATGGGAATAGAGTACAGTTAAAGCTCATTATTCATAAATCTATATTACGTGACATAAGTACTAAATGCTAACAGCCTGCTCATTTGTACCCACCTCTGTGAGATGCTTTTTACCAAAGACGTGAGAAAAGAGGAACGGTCTAACTTTGATGAGTCCGGCTCTTTGTGGGTAGAGTGCTAACTGCCATTTAGGAGACAATTTGTATTTTAAAGTTTTGGGATTGACTTCATGTGGGTGGGTCACCCAACATCGGAGATTCCTTTGGATAAAAGTGAACCTACATCATCTCCAGAAATGCACTAAAATCAGTACTATTAGAGCAACACGTTCTCACTCCCAAGTCGTCACATATGCACAGTCTTTGTAATGCCCTGGACTGGGGGAAGCCCTGTAGTGTCATTTTTGAACGCTGAAGGTAGGTGTATAATATATAACTGTAAAGTCTGAGTAAGGAGGTGGTTGGGGTGGATGGGTGGGCCAGAAATTGGACTTTCACCCAGGAGACTGGTGTTCGTTTCCCATGAGAATTAAAAAGTCAACAGTGAGTGTTATTCCTTACATAGTAAGTTGCGTAAGTTACGTTATTTACTCTAAAGCCAAACCATGATGTTTTCCTAAACCTAACCAAGTACTTTTGGTGCCTAAACCTAACAAAATGTTTACAATGTCATTTAAACACAACGTTAAATAGTAGCTTAATTTTGAAAGTGTAACCGGACGTGCAGATTTATTGTTGCTAACTTAACCCCGGAGCCCTACGTGTTGAAAAACAATGCTAAAGGGGTACCCAGGGCATTAAAGCGACACCAAGAGGTCTTGACCAAGCGTCCATATGTGATGAGCTGGGAGTGAAATTATGTTGACAGTATGGAAGAAGGACTCAGATCCTGTCCTTTAAACTTAACTAAAATACTCTATTCCAAGTAAAAATACAGAAGAATTATCAACACAAAGTAACTGTTCAACAGACAAAAACCCGTTTGACTGATATTATGAATATATGATACATTATTAGACGTTGACAATGATGCATCACTGTGCAACTCCCATTTTACAGTTGTGGGAGGTGGAGCTAGTTCTTACTTTATATATACTTCAGTAGCTTAGTCCAGTGATTCCCAACCTAGGGCCATGAGATAATTAGTGGGAGAGAGAAAAACACCAAGCAATAGATTCTTTATATCTAATCTTAATTTTTTTGTGAAATATTGAAAAATTACAAATAATTAAACCTCACTAGGCCTCAAACAGTTATTTAAATGAAACCATTTGAGAAGTTTAGGGGGGAAACAACTCTTTGTTGGAACTGTTAACAATTTATAGACATTTTAACTGTGACAAGTGGCCCCAACCAGACACAAGGTTGGAAACCAATCTTTAACAAAGAAATGTATTTTATAAGCTTATAATGTATTTTATAAGCTTATAATGTATTTTATAAGCTTATAATGTATTTTTTATGTAAAAATGTTAATCTATGAAGTAAGTTATTACAGTTTCCCTGAAATATTGTGCAGTAGAAGTTTAAAGTAGCACAAATGGAAATACTCAAGTAAATTACATGTACCTAACAAAGCACTGTAGGTACAGTAGAAGTTGACAGTTGACTGAGCCACCCTGCAGCCCATTTCTTCATCACTTCATTAAAATAGAAAACAATAAATCCACAAACCGAGAAAACAGAAACCAAGTTACCATGCCTCAGTGGTTGCTTTAATTTGGTGTCCAATGCTAACACCCACTTGCTTCAAGGGTCACTGCTTCCAAATTCACCCTCTCTTCCTGCAGCAGGAGCTGCTATATGTTAAGACCTTCAGCTAGAAAAATATTCCTGACAACACCTCTACTCACTGCCTCTCTTCAGTCACACAGACAGGGGATTAGACTGCCATTTTTTTCTTTTACTTTCTCTGGCTGATTTATGTTGCGAGCCGCAGTCAGAAGCTAGGTGTAGATGCTGTTCAGAGCCACGAGCGTCCTTATTAATCTCTTCCTCAGAAAGTGGAACGCTCAGCAGTAACCCAGAGGAGAAGCTCAAACAGCCATCTATCCTCCAACGAAACACAGACAGCAATTTGTGCAACTGGCTGTTTACCTGGCAAACGTTGTTTCCAGTGATGACAGCCAGCCTCATATGTGAGGAGCAGAGGAAGAGAGATGTTACAATCCAGCTGGAATAAAGACATCAGCAGTGGAATGCAATAGATAGTCACACTGAACAGCAACCTGTATAGTAACCTTGAAGAGTGTCTCAGTTAGGCTAATCAAATGAATGCTGCCTTTCTTGATTTAGTTGCATTTGATACAGTTTGAGTTAGAAACCAATCTAAGCTGCTAAAGATCAAAACAATTTTCTGCAAAAATACATGATCTAGGTAGGTGTAGGTCTGTAACCATTCATATTTGTTTTGTATCCTTTTTATAAAGCAGTAAAAGGTTGTGATAAGATGCTATTTCTCTCACTATTTGGAGCTGCCATCATGTACATAAAGTTGGCAGTTACCAACTGCCATAAGTGTTGGGCACTAATGCATTATTTAATAATGCCTTAAAGTAATGTGATTACTATTTTCTGTAACAAGTACTATAAGGGGATACAATTTGAAATTCATTAATTGCATTACTCAGGTTGGCTGGTTGTTTGATGTGTAACAATATAAATATGCTGACCTCCACAACATTGTGGCATTGACAGGAGATGGACGTTACGGTGGACAAGATGTTTTTGTCTCTGAATCCCGTGGTTCTGTAACTCTACACTGTGATTCCACTGAGACTTGAGTAAAAAGTGTCAAAGAGGGCGAGGATAGAATTACAAAGAGAAGAAATGTAACTCCAGATATCTACAAAATAGTCTTAATTACATGTTGTGCTGCCTTGCTAACGTTGGTACGCCCACATTCAGAAATCGCCAGGTTTTGTTTAGAGTTGGAGGGTATATAAACCCTGCAGCTTCACTGTGAGGTTAAGAGACTATTGGAGTTGCTGGGGATAACGTTAAGTTGGTCTCCTCTCTATTTGTGGGTGTGTCATGTGGGTATGGAGGCTTTGATGTATTTCAAAACGGCCTCTGATGGGGCTCAGCTGCGTAACGAAAGTAAAGTTGGTTTCATTTTTCATTGAGAATATGTAATGAGTAATTTATTACATCTTTGAAGCTACTTGCACGACACTAGTTACCATCATTTTACACTTTATTAGCTAAGAGGGTAAAAATTATCAAAATGAACACTCTTTTTCTCCACAGTCCTGACAGAAGGAGTCTAAGGCAAGTGAGGCCATTTGCTGCAGCTGCCTGGTTAATGTTCTCACACTGCCTTTTGGATGTCAATTAAAGAAAGATTCTCTCTAATCTGCCCTCTTTCAGTGGAGCTGAAATTCAACTTGGACCAATATGTGAACAAACGCTACCCAGGCCTGGTAAAGATTGTGAGGAACAGCAAGCGGGAAGGCCTGATCAGAGCCAGAATACACGGCTGGAACGCGGCCACGGGTCCTGTCGTCGGCTTCTTTGATGCTCACGTCGAGTTCAACACTGGCTGGTAAGAAAAGGTCATGTTTAACACAAGAAGGTCTGAGTTGTTACTCTGTCCTTTCTCACCTTTGCCTTTGTGTTTTGCTTTTTATGTTTCAGTACAGAAGGATGTCATGCAAGATTATTATCGTTGAAATATGCAGTTTAGTCTGCCCTAAGCATTTTGATATATTACCAGGCCAAATTTAACTGAGACAGCACTTTTCAGCAGAATGACTCTTATTATTAGTAAGGTGTTATCATTAATAAGCTTTTCTCTCTTGCATCTCCTTTTACATTGTGAGTAATGGGCTTTGGTTAGAGCTGAATAAAAAGACATCCCAATTTAAATGACACTACCTGTCCAGCAAATTCACACTTATGACAAGAGAGAGAGCCAAACAGTGTGAAAGGCAGGAGAGCGAGTGTAATTAAAGAGGGAGCTCAAATGTTGAGCGTTTCGACATTATTTTACCTGCAGGCTCTGAGCTTATTTTGCGATATGAAATTACTTCTGGGGGTCTCAGTCCAATGTCTGCCTGCTGCTAAGGTTTACCAGCAAACAAGTCACTCAAATACATGTAATTGGCACCTAATTTGAGCCTGTCATGCTGTCAGTGTTTGAAGATGAAGTGTCGCGTTTGTTCCTTGGGAAGCTGCCTGGGAGGCAAGAGGGGGACAAGGAGGGATGGAGGAATAGGAGGGGGGATGGTGGAGGATAGCAGAAAGAAATATTTTAGTTATAAATTCTTTACAGAGTCTCTGGATGCAGGTCAGCCATTTTGACTTACTACATTCTGGGAATGTAAATGAATACTATTATATTTTTCTTATATAAAAAGTTATGAACAGCGTAAGCAGTAGAGCTTTTGTTGAAATTTTGTTTTTTAGCCATACAGACCAGTCACAGGATATGCAACAAATGTCACGCCATGTTCATAGAGTCCTAACTGTCAAGTGGAAGCATACATAAATCATACATACACTGCTGCAGTGCAAAAAGTGTTGACTTTTTCTTTGATATCCATGTAATTCAGCAGGTTGTTGTCTGTACAGTGTAAAAAGGAGTTGCTAGTAGTCAAAGCAGGATGACTTCTCATGATGGTGTTTGTTTTTTAAAGACAACTTTACTTTCATCTGGACCTTTTTTCAATAATGCAATATGGCCAGATGAGTTATTACATTACTATACACATATAGATATATATTTTTTTGTTGTTATCATAGATACAACCTCCAGTTTTGTGTATATACAAATCCTGGAATATAATAATTAATATATTCCAAGCTTTTATTTAGAATCAGTTTAGAATTACAATTACATTTTTTGAAGGTGTATTTCAAATAAAATTCATGCTTAAATATTTGATTAATTAAGGTTATTATGTATGTTTTGTTAACAGCTTATTGCATACATACACTATATGTATATATTATGAACATATATATATGTATATGTATAATGGCAGTAGAATACAATATTACATAGGAAATGAAGCAGTCTGGATAATTTCTTCTTTTTATATAATTTTTGGGGCTTTTTTTTAGCCTTTATTGATAGGAGAGCGGATAATGATGAAACGAGGGAGAGAGAGAAATAGGGGGCGACACGCAGCAAAGGGCTGTAGGCAGGATTTGAACCCGGACAGATATATATAGACATATATAGTATTTGGTAAGGGTGTAAAACAATGCTACTGTCAGTTACAACAAACTTAATGTTCATTTTATTAACTTGGATAGTACTTTAGAGGGTTGCTGTCTCTCTCTCGGTTTATAACGATGACATCACAGCGCTAAAGGTAAGGGTGAGCATGACCCTGCTTATAAAATGAATAGAGCATTCATATACTATACTATCTACCAACCATTTACTGTTACAAAGGAGTGATTTGATATAACCTGATTATTGCTGCTCAGCATTTTTTTTTTTTGTAGAATGAGGACCTGGAGGCAGTCCAACCAACAAACAGGGAGAATCATTGTTGCATCATTGCCTCGGTGCAATATTGGTGATAATTGATACCCTGGCGGTTCCCTCATCTGTTTCCCCCATCTGTTCTTGCTCAAAAACAGACGTACCTTTCACACCCCCCACATAACCCATTCACCTTCGTATAGGTTACCTCCTCGTCAGTTCCCGTGCCATCCCATCACCTCCCCCCACAGCTCTACACAGTTCTTAGTTTAGCTGCTGCTATCGTGTGAATTTCACACACCTCTCTCTTCTGTTTCTCCCCACACACCGTCACCCACATACCCGCCTTTGATAGCCTGCTGCCTTCATTTTTTGTTTTGCTGCCTCACATTTGCTTTTACGTTAGCTTTTATTTACAGGAGTACAGTAGGAGTGCAGAATCCCTGTGATTTTTCTACAAGTACATGCTGGGTAAAGAGAGATAGCAATGGAGGAGATGACAGGGATCTTCTAGCAGCGTTACATATATTTTGTGTGTGTGTGTGTGTGTGTCCACAAACATCCTGTTCTTCTCCTTTATTCAGATAGATTCACTCGTGGTCTCTACACAATCTATTTATTACAATGGAAGAAGCCCCCTATTTATCATAATGTGATTATTCACCATTGCACATACAGTGATAAGTATGATGGATGGTTCGTCTAGATGTTGTGTTGAGTCTCCCTCACTGACCTTGTACACACCGCCTGTGCATACTGAGCCAGAGACAATGCTGCCAACTCTTAGCTGCAGTGCTGTGATTCATTGGCATGGCGTTTCCCGGGGGTGCTGTACATTTGCAGCTGAAATGTAATGCTGGTTCGCATTACTGTTACAGCAGACATAATTGTATCATGCTGTATGGTGCACTTGACAGCTGTTTCCCATTCCTTCACACCATGTTGGTTTATGAAGAGCTAAGAAGTGAGCGCTTTCCACCGGAGGAGTGATGGAATCTGATTTCCACGGCTTTGCTCTGCTTTAATATGAGGATATGAAACCATTGCGTGTCATTAATGTGGTATTGCATCAGCTAAATGTTCACAATCTATCTCCTCTAACGCTATATATCCATCCATCCCCGATACAAAGGTTGTCCATTCTGCTCTAAACAGGGCCTGTTTCCATCTGCATGCTCTGTAAATAAACAGGACTAATGGCAGGAAATAGGAGTGTTGTAATTATGACCTACTGTATGCATGCAGCTGCTGAGGGGAGGGAAATTGATATTTATTTGGTTTTTGAAGCCCCTGCACAATTATTAACGATTGATGATTAGAAGTGTAGCAGACACTCCCTGCTGAGGGTGTGTTGGAGATAAGATTGTCATAGCAGGGAGGTTGTAATGAAATATATGCTTCAGAAAGCAACACATTGAATAATTTTGAATGCTCCGCTGCTATGTGACCTGGTGAGTTTTTCTAAGAATAAGACAAACTGGTGGCAATCATAAAAGTAAGACACAGATAAAACAAACCTTTGCCTCCTGTAATTATGAAATATGTAATATTTGTCAGACCCATATTTGATATCAGTCCTTTGTTAATATCATGGAGCTCTATCTGTTTATAAAGCAGCCCAGGCGGCATTATATTAAATTCAAGGTAAAGTTCAGAGTTGTTGAAGATTGAGGAAATATATTTTTTTGCCAAAATAAATCATGCCTTTTCTCTCGCTTACTGTGTCTGGCGGTGGCTCAGTGTTTGTATCTGTCTGGAGACGAGAAAGGAGGCTGAAGCCATACTGAGTGCTTCACAGAGTATAGGCCAGGCAGACTTCCAAAACCACAGAAAAGACAGAGATGTATGCCCCCTTTATATTTTTACATTATCAACCACATCCTGAGTAAATGCATTTATAAGTAGTGTGTTATCTAACATTGCATTGTAAGAACCTTTTCCAGTTCATGCTTTTGCAGCCCTCACGCTAATGAATTGAAATTCTGCCTGGACACCTTTTACTTTCTTTGAATTCTGCATTTTTTATAGGGGGGGCAGGCGACTGGCCAATACTAATATGTGCTCTACGTGTACTGAGCAGATCTGAGCTGCTCTGTCAAACAGCAAGACTGTGGACGGCCTCATATTTACAATGATTTAATGAGCTTAAAAATGGCTGAAACAATGCAGGCTTCTTTTCAAAGACACATCAAGACACATATCATCACACATATGCAACATACATACACAGCAAACAAAAATTAACACTTTCAGAGTTCTTTTCAACACTCTATTTGGGTCCACATCATGTGTTAATATCACTCTTTTTGAAGTGTTGGTATTTTAACTCAGTATTACTTCACTCTTTAACAGTCAAACATTGTTAACTGTTCTCAGCACTGGTGTGAATTTAGCAAAGAACGCCCTCAGAGTGTCATTGTTCTATACAGGGTATGGTGTAAATATGGTTTCATACAAATATTTCATAAATCACATCTAATACAATAAACAGTGAACAAAAATTAAACCATTCTAAAAAGAGAGATTTATTTTGCTTTAAATGAAATATACCACTAACATCTAAATCTGTGGCAACATTTAAGTATAAATGCATATGTTTGTAAGTTTGTGATTATTTTCTGAAATATACATTATTGTTAGTGAAATGCATTGACAATGTGAGTTCATAACCCCCAATTAATCATGTTGTAATAGGTGCTATAGTGAGAACTGTAATCATCGAAAATAATAATAATTGTAATACTAGAAAAATACAAATAAATTAAAATAAAATAAACTATAACAACGTACATTTGATTAAAATAGATAAATAAAGATGTGACCTTAATACAGTGAAGCTTGCTTACACATACATACTTATAACCAGCCATCTCTATGTACCTTTATACACTGCTCAAAAAACTTCACAGTCAATCACAGATCAGATCTCGATAACTGAAATTGGTCAAAGTTTAAAATCTTTGCTGTACAATGTATAATTCGTTGAGAAGAAAATGACATTACAGTCAGTGGAAACCAAAATCACCAACCGATTGAGAGGTGGATTTAAAATCACACCAAAATTCAAAATAAAGAAATTGAAATTAGAGGCTGATCCAACTTGCTTGACT